AAATAATAAAGGTTCGAATCTGTCACAGTAGAAGACCCCCGCAGGTGTCTAAATTATGATAGTTGATGTTTTGTGACTTTCAAAGACTATTATTAAGCCTGTATATTATTAAGCCTATATACTGAGCCTGCAAAATGTTCCAAACCGTCTCTGTCTTCTAACAGGATTTTTCAAAGGAGCCAATAGACTTGAAATAAATAGAGCTGGGAACAGATTTCATCACCACAAAAATCTGAAGTACAGACTTATTACCAGTATTTCCTATAGTCCAGAAATCTATATAGTTTCTTGTTATAGTTGAATTGCAAAGGAAGTGAGCAGAGGTGAGAGAGAATTCAGCAAATACGGGGAAGGAACTGGCTTATGTGTGGCGATGACACTTGGGGACCTTTTTAGGGGAGGGAAGGGGCTCAGTAATTAAGAAACCTGCATTCAGAGCACAGATTTCAATCACCATCTCAGCATGTTTACAAAATCTTAAGCAATTAAGGTTATTTCTGCCTATTTCTGTTCATGGTTTATGATTGACGAAAGTTAGCGTTAAGAAGACCACGTTAAATGTTTTGCCTTTTAAACTTGAAATTGGCTGTTTCCTAATCTCAGTTGCCTTTGACTGATATAAAAGTTTGAAGAGCAAAGGAAAACCGGGATTTTTAAAAAAGCAAGTATTAGTGATATCCCATCACTTCGCTTTTAAGCATGGAATTTCACAAATGTTCATGATTATCGCCTTTTTAAATAAGTTAATAAGAAACTGACCAAAAGCTGATGCATGATCTCTTTCCTTAGCACTACATTTTTTTTTAAACTTTTGTGCTTCATATGTTCACTCATTCAAGTATTAATTGGGCACTTACATAAATGTGACAACACTGTGTGGGCTCTGGGGACACGAGAGCAAAGCAAATAGTCACAGTCCCTCCCTTGAGCTTAAATTCTCACGCTGTAGGCCCACCTCCAACCCTGCCATCTTTGTTCGTGATCCCATTGGCAGTGACAAGAGTGGCTGGGGAAAAGAAGCTGAGTGGTGTCCACAGAACAGGTCATCCTATTAACTTGATTTACTGAGGTCACCGTCAGGTGAGCATTCGCCTGGGATGCAAATACACTCATGCTTTTTTGCCCATTCAGAAGGCTCTATCCACATACCTTTTTTCTCCAGACCTCTTTGTCAGCAATTTTCCAATTGTGTTCCTTCCAAGTCTCAGATCATCTAGCCAAACCATGGCCACGGCCAATGCATTAGTGTATAGTAACACACCTGGCCATTTTTCCTTCCAAGCAAAATGAACAACCAGGTGCTCAACATTCTGCTCCCAGGGAGAGTTATCCTTCACCCTAGTCCTTCAGGGATGTCCCAGAAAGGGGCTTTAGTGCTACAGCTGTCCACTTCACTTGGTGCCTGCCGATCACGCAAAACCATCAGAAAACCAGGCTCAAGTTATCTCTTTCTCTGCCACCTGATTGTAGAGAACTCCACACGAAGCTGTGAGTGCAGGCTGGAAGAGAGAAGGCAGGAGTGGGGGCTACAGGCATTTGGGCCACTTTGTAATGTAATTTACTTTTGCCCCGAGGGCCTGCTCAGGCCCAGTCTCATATGACTTCCACTTGATGATGGAGTGCTGTTTTGTGGCTTGATGGGTTAGGTAACACCCAATTCCTAATGAGCTGCTCATGAACTTGGTGGCACGTATTTAGGCATTCATTTTCTGCTGAGACCCAGTAGCAACCTAAACGCTGTTTCTCAGAAGAGTCGTTATCCACAGAGGATACCATGACTTTGCTCCAAAAGCCTATGATTTGCCTATTGGAGCCTGTCAATGGCTCCACACAGCTTCTCTCTTTGCCACTGACACTTCGAGCACCATTAGATCTGGATCTTCTGGCCCAAGTGACACTTCGAGTGCCATTAGATCTTCTGGATCACTTGGCCCAAGTGACAGGGCAGCTTGCATGGCAGCCTGGACCTGTTGGAGAGCCTTCTCTTGTTCTGAGCCCCACTCAAAACCAAGCTTCTTGGGTTACTCGGTCAATGGACCAGAGTCACATAACCAAATAAGGAATATGTTGCCTGCAAAATCCAGAGGCCCACGAGGCATTATGCCTCTTTTTGGTTATCAGAGGGGCCAGATGCAACAACTTATCCTTCATCGTAGAAGGGGTATCTTGATGGGCTCTGCATCACTGAACACCTAGAAATTTTACTGAGATGGGAAGCTCCTGAATTTTTGTAGGGTTTGTCTCCCACCCTCTCACACGTGAGTATCTTACCAGTAAGACTGGTAAGTCTAGTCTTGCTGCTTCTTGCTCACTAGTTCCGTTTAGCATAATGTCACCAATGTAATGGATCAGTGTGATGTCTCGTGGAAGGAAAAGCATCATGATCCATGCAGTCTAAATTATGACATAGAGCTGAAGAGTTGATATACACCCAAGACAGGACAATGAAGGTGTATTGTTGGCCTTGCCAGCTGAAGACAGTCAGCTTTTATTGCTCTAAACAGGTATGGAGACAAAAGCACTCGCCAGATCAGTAACTATATACCAGGAGCGAGGAGGGGTGTTCATTTGCTCAAGCTATTTAACCACATGTGGAACAGCGTCTACAATGGGAATTACCACCTGGTTATGTTTATGACAATTCACTGTCATTCCCCAGGATCCGTCTGTCTTCTTGACAGGCCAAATAGGCAAGTAGAATGGGAATGTGGTAAAAATCACAACCTCTGCATCCTTCAGGGTTTTTTTGTTTGTTTTTGTTTTTTAGGTGTAGTCAGTTTACAATGTTGTGTGAATGTCTGGTGTACAGCACGCTGTTTCAGGCATATACGTACACACATATATTTATTTTCATATTCCATTCTGCAGGTGATTGATGGTGGCACTAATCTATACAATCCTCAAGGAATGAGTCATTGCTTTTGATTATTCTTTTGCTTGACAGAGGCAGTCCTACTGGCTTCCATCTGGTGTTTCCTACTGTCAAAGCCCTCAATCCACAAGTAAGGAACCAACGTGGGGATCCTGCCGGTTGCTGAGTACGTCTATTCCAATTATCCATTTTGGAACTGGGGAGATAACTACACTGGAACCACTGTGAGATGGACCAGAGCAAAAACTCCATCGATCATTTGACTTCCACAAGCCCCTACTCTGACTCGTGGACACCACGATGTTTTGGGTCTCCCGAAATCAGTCAGTTCAGATCCAATATCCAGTAGTCTCCCAAATGTCTGATTATCACCTTTTCTCCAATGCATAGTCACCTTGGTAAAAGGCTGTTGATCCTTTTGAGAAAGGCTGGGAGAAAAATTAAGAGTATAAATTTTTGGCAGTATAGTGTGGGGCCCCAGTCTCCACTTCATTCAAGGGCTTGAGGGTCTATAAAATGTCTCAAGTCTGGGGACTGATTGAGGGGCTGTGACTCTGGTTTATTATTATTATTATTGTTACTCAAGTTAGACCTCTGTTCCCTTACTTGACCTAGAACTCTTCCACTTACACAAATCAAATAAGAATTTAGTTGACTGCCCACCTACATCTCTTCTAGTGACACCATGGTTGGTCAGTTAGCCAATGTCATAGTCTCTGCAAGTCAGACTATTCTAATTACTGCACTGACTGCATTGTCCTTTATGGTAACCAAGTCTACCTTATCTTTGGCTTCTGCCATCCAGGATCCAATGTTGCCATTGCATTTAAGACTCCCAGTTCTGTGGCAGCAGTTACCACTGTAATCTGTAGAAGAGTGACCACAGAG